GAGAGGACGCGAATTCGCAGCAAACAACGCTCTCACGAGGTGTTGAAAAACTGTTACAGGTAACTCAGCTGTAACTGCTTACATAAGTCAGTCGTCAAACGTTCTTAAACCAGACATTATTTCCATAAATCAGACTTAACGTATTTTGTTTTTTTTTTCCCCTCTAATAGGCCCGTGTCACCGCGGCAAGACTTATGGGTGTACAAACGATTGATGCTTTACGCGTGCAGGTAACTTATGGAACACAGTTGCATATTGTAAATGTGGATGCTTAAAAATGCACATGCCGTCGTTTCGACCACGAGAAATTACCATGCATACATGCAATCGCAGCTGCAGAGCATATGGGTGTGTCTCGTATATCCCTGTGCAGTCCTTACTATAAGAGAAGTTACTTGGTTAGCGCATACGCTGCTCCAATCATGCCTTCCGATACGGCAATCCCTGTTCCTCAAATTGTAGTTAACCAACCGTGCTTGCCTCCGATTGTTGTAAACCAGCCAGGAAGGCCCAAGAAAATTAGGATTAAATCATCTTTGGAAGTTGCCATTGGAAACAAACGCCCTAGGAAGCAACATGTATGTTCTCGATGTAAACAAGTTGGGCATAATGCTAAAACTTGTCAGTCGTAGTATTGTTTGTATGAATTCTCTTTTATGTATTTGTTAATGGCGAATTAATCTGAGTAACTCAGCCGTATATCGTTATAATAATTCGGCCAAACCACGAATTCATCTGTGGTACATCATCCGTGTTGTTGTCATAACTCGGCCAAACCACGAATTCATCTGTCCAGCTGAAGGCACACAATTCTTCCTCATGCACGTCAGTCCGTTGTCTCCGATATGAGGAAATATCCGTTTAGAGACATTAGAGAGTGGATTCAATGCACTCCCATCCGGAGACAGCTTGACACTCTCCTTCCTTAGAGCGTTGATTCTTTCAATCCTTATATGTTCCTCTTCATCATCTTCAGACTCAGGTAACGTGCGTTCGTTACCAGCTAGCAACTGGTCTGTGACATCATATACGTCATTGTCACCTTTAATGCCAGCCTTTTCCAATATTTCCTCATCTTTGTCGGGGACATCAGCAGCCTCTTTCTTCTCATCAAGAGCAGCTCCTCCCTGCACCGGAGCAGTAGCTAGTTTTCGTACCACCTTTTTAACCGTTGTAGAAGAAGGCTTCCTACCTCTTCTACGTCCGACTGCTGCCTGAACTTTGGGGGCCTTATCTTTGGCGGACTTATCCTTGCCGGTATTCTTCTTTCCCGCTGCGATTTTCTCTGTGTCAATTTTCCTGGAGCGTAATTTCCTAATATTATTAGGTAACGTATCTATGAAATCAATAGCAGATTTGCCATCAATGACATTAGCAAATTCTTTTTCCAGATTCTTACTGACACCAGCAATACCAATGTCCTTCTCAACATCGACAATATCCTTCGCCTGCATAAACGTACCGATAACTCAGCCATAAGATAAAGATAACTCAGCCGTTAGGTGATTAATATAATAATAACTCAGCCATAATGTGATTAAGATAATGATAACTCAGCCGTAATATAATGATAACTCAGCCGTAAGGGGATAACTCAGCCATTATGTGATCAAGATAGTGAAAACTCAGCTACTAGGTTATTAAGATAATAATAACTCAGCCGCAATGTATTTATACATATGTCTGGCACTGTTAGCTTACCAGAGGACTAGTAACAGACTGGTTTTGTGGAGGTTTCGCTGGACCTTTTGGTGTTGCTTTTTCTTTTTGATTCAGCAAAAGGTTGACTTGCGTCGGCTTTTCGGGAGGTTCTGTTTGTTTGAAGGCTGAGTTTTCCTCACCGTTTTCACCAGATTTCCCTACCCCCTGCTCAATTGCATTCAGACGCTCTTTCATCTGTTTCAACTCCTTCTCCATATATTCAAACTTTTCATCCATCCTCGCTTCTACTCTATCTCCAATCACCTTCTCCATATTTGAAGACACTTCTTTGATGCTTGTATCAACGGTGTCAAACCTTGAGTTTAATTGCTTCACCAAATCCAGGACTGTTTTAACAGACACATCTTCCAGAACATCGTCCTCCGCTCTACCAACCTGGAACACATACACAAAAACGCATAAACAAGCTACCCAAACATCACATCAAATATAAACTCACTACATACCATATCATTTACCTTTTCTGTCTTCTTCTTCTTCTTCTTCTTTTCTGCATCTCCTTCACCAGATTCAACACCCTCACTGTTGATCACATCCTTGACATTGTGGACTTTCTGCCTCTTTGCAGGAGATTCAGAGTCACCCGCTGCATTAGAATTTACATTTTTCTTCTTCTTCTCAGTCTTCTTCACATCCCAATATCCTTTAACAAACTTATCCTCATGTATATCTCGGATCAAATTATCAAGTGCTGGGTCCTCTTCTTCATCTGGCCACGTATGAAATAGCTCTCTGACATCATCCTTCATAACCAATTTACTCACACGCAGCTATAACATAAGAGATTATAAAACCCATTAGTAAGTTTAAACTGAATCATCAATAATTATAACTCAGCCATCACTAACCAACACTAATATAACTCAGCCAGCGCACAAATCATAACTCAGTCATCAAAAACGATAACTCAGCCATCACAAAATTTAACTCAGCCATTACTAAAACATAACTCAGTCAGTAACTATCAGTCATCAAAAACGATAACTCAGCCATCACAAAATATAACTCAGCCATTACTAAAACATAACTCAGTCAGTAACTATCATAACTCAGTCAGTAACTTTCATAACAGAGCCAAAACCTTACCTCACCATGCGCTTTGATATCTTCAGCAATGGTCAATTCCATTGTTTTACGTGTACGGTTTCCACCCCAACGAAGCAACGGTATCTCATCCTTGTTGACTACTCTCCCATATCGCTCTCCAAAGCATTTGACTGAATCATACGCCAAAGCCTGTAACACGTAAACCATACCACTGACGGTGTACGTCTTTCCAACAGGCCTCAACATCTTTATAGAATTAACCAGGGCTTCAAATGCTAACCGACCCCATGGATAAGTGTTCATGGCTTCCTCATCAAAAACTCTTTTCGCACTTTCAAATGGTATTCTAGAGTTATGATGCAAGCCATACAGTCCAATGGCTTGAAGAGTCAACAACCCCAACCACTTACGCTTTTCAGGAGTCCATGTCCTGCACACTAGTAATCATGCCCTCAGTTCATCTAACTTTGGACCTTCACCACCAGGCACATTCAATTCACTGAAGAACGCTTTGTAGTCAGCTTTAGGTTCAAACTTTTCTGTAGGGATTGAACCTGTGTTTAACCCCGTGATATGACCAAATTCGTTCAAGCCAAACCTGATAAGTTGACCACCAACTAGAAACCAAATCTCCTTCTTGTGTATTCTTAACTGTCTACACAGTAGAAAATGTACAGTCTTACCAGACCACACGAATTGGCTTTCAGCTAGCTTAGCAATTATTCCAATAGGTGACCCCTTCAGTTCATTCCACGCATCTTGTCCTATTGATTCTATAATCACAGGGACATCTCCCATCTTGATATTGTGATTTAACAATTTATTCTCCAGAATAGACTCCCCTTCTGCGTAAAGTCTTGGAGGGTAATCCCTTGGTTGTTCTTCAGAAATAACCTTAGCCATCTGATAAACCATAAATCAGCCGTAAGCATACAGTAACTCAGTCACAACATAAAACAAACTCAGCCACAGTTGAGCAGATAAACCATAACTCAGTCGTAAGCATAGAGTAACTCAGCCACAACGTAAAACAAACTCAGCCACACCATAAAACAAACTCAGCCATAGATGCATTGATAAATCATAAATCAGTCTAAAGCAAACAATAACTCAGCCATGGAATCGAATAGATATAACAAATTAGCCACCATATGAAAATCAACGTTGGCGAAAATCAGCTGTAATAAGCGTCGATAAAAACCCTCAATTTCTTCGCGATAGTTTTCGGAAAACGGTTTCAATCACGGAAATCACTCGCTATTGAACTTAGATGCGGGAAAAATGTCGGAAAATCCAAAATAAAGATTCGACACATACCTTAAACAAGTTGAGTTGAGACGAAATGGTCCCGACTTGAGGTGAGGCGACGAAGTAAAAGGTCCCGACTTGAGTAGAGACGAAATGCGACGGAGAGAACGAGAGAGTTAAGAGTTTCGGCCGGAATTAGGGTTTCTTAGTCTTAGTCGGAATCGCGTTTCCGTCGGAGAAAGAAAAAGTTTTTTCAGTTTTTTTTTTTCGGAGATGAACAGTGACAGAGAGGGAAATCGAAAGGGTTCTCTTAATGACGTTAATGACGTGGCTTTAATTTGTTTTTCTTTTAATGACGTGGATTAACATAATTTTCGTTAATCATTTCTTAATTAAAAATGGATTAAAAAAAAAAAAACTAATCAAGGGTGTTAATTGTAATTACACAAAGACGCTAAACATATGAGTAATTTTTTAAAAATGTATGATATTCTAATAATATTCGAACTTTTGGTTAACATCTGAGTAAATATTTCTTAAAATAATACTCAATGGTTGGGTGTTTCCAATACAAAAGAGAAGGGTTTGCAACATTAACATTCACATATCTGTTTCTGGTTAATGGAGCTGAACAATCTACCAACAAAGTTCAAGTATGAAAAATGAAAAAAAAAAAAAACGAACTTTTTATTTTGAAGTCTAGACCATTTATCTCTCATGATTGACTTAGTCCAAATTAGAGTTTCGAACTTCGAATGTAGCAGAGACAGACTCATTAGAAACTCTGATCCAAATAAAAGACCCAATTGTATTTTACATTTATAAAAGACCCAATATTCTCTATTTATAAAAGACCCGGTTGTATGTTATTTTACAGTTATAAAAGACCCAATTGTATTTTACATTTATAAAAGACCCGGTTATATTTTACATTTATAAGAGACCTAAAACTTGTATATAAATAGCTAACATCCAACGGCTTATAGACCACCACAATACAATCTATCTTTCAACTTTCACTCCACCATCAGAGGTCAGCTCTCTCTCCCTCTCCATATGCATATTTGCTTTTATTTAGATAATTTTTTGTAAACGTAATGAGAATAGTTTTAAACAATCTAGAGTAGAGCATAGATAGCTGTTGCTGTTTTTACTTATTAGCTAATATCTGGACTGTTTCCTTTTCACCAAATATGCTTCTTCTTCTTTTTTCCTGTATTTCTGCAAATGTATTTTCCTTTAATCTAGTTCTTGTTTGTTCTTGTCTTGAAATGGTTTTTTTTCTTTTTTAATTTCCCAACCTAATGAAACACAAATGGGTTTTGATGCAAATTATTAGCTAAGCAACGCAATACAACACCATGTCTCAAGATTCAAATGCCTTTGAGATGGTCCAAAGGGAAGGGAATGAGTGGGATGATGGATCCGACCATGATGATGTGACAAAGATATATGTGATAGGTGGTAGAGATGGCATACAATTCATCAAGATTTACTATGTCAAGTCTGGACAACCGAAAAATGGGTCATTCCATGGATACTCGGATAGAGGTTTCATGCAGATGGTATGACTTGGAAAATATGCTAATGAATATCCCTCTATTAATTTGTGTTCATGAATCATGAGGATAGTTAATATTGACATTTTTTCAACAAATTTTACGCAGTTTGAGATTAACAATCTAGAAAATGAATATCTTGAATCTGTTGAGGGTTACTACAGCGCTGGTGGCGGGATCATTGAATCACTTCAATTCAAAACCAACTTGAGGGTCTCTGATATCATGGGATATACATCTACTAGTGGCAAAAAACTTAAACTGGCAAACAATGGAAAGAAAATTATTGGGTTTAAGGGAACTGCTCAGTATCTCCTTAGCGATCTGGATGCATATTTCACTCCGATCACTCCTACAAGAATGGAAGCGCAAGGGGGAACTGGAGGGATAAAGTGGGATGATGGAGGTGACCATGAAAGTTTAACAAAGATTCAAGTACGTATTAATCATGAAGGCATACAATTCATCAAATTCAATTATGTTGACAAGGATAGACATCCGGAAAAAGAGCAAGTCCATGGTTCTGAGACGGGTAACGGTAACACGCTAGCACCGGTATGTATGACCGCGTAAATTAAAATAAAATTTGATGACTATGGGTTAACCTCTCTTGGTTTTCTATTAATGTTTATGCAATGTTTATTTTTTCTATTTCTTTTGTAGTTTGAGATTAACTATATCAACAATGAATATCTGCTATCTATTGACGGTTACTACGACGAAGATTCTGGTGTAATTCAAGGACTTCAATTCAAAACCAACATAAAGACTTCAGAAGTAATGGGACACGATGAAAAGGGTACTAAGTTCACACTTGGATGCGACGGTCATGAGATCATTGGGTTTCATGGATCTGCTCAAGATAACCTAAACGCTCTTGGGGCTTATATCACAACCCTTCCTCTAACTAAATTAGAATACATAGGTAGTGGAGGCGACATTTGGGATGATGGTACTTTCCAGGGTGTAAAAAAGGTGTACCTTTATTATAATGTTTATATAAGGTGTATCGAGTTCGAATATGTTAAAGGCGGCAAAGTGGAAACCCGTGTGCACGGGACGAAGATTAACATGGATGTTGCAAAAAAAGAGGTCATAATTCCTAAAACTCTAACTATTACTCGAACATCTTTGCTTATATATATATATATATATATATATATATATATATATATGTGTGTGTGTGTGTGTGTTCTTGAACACAGCTTATATGTACAAGCTCATTTTGTCGCAGTTTGAACTGGATCCAAATGAATTTCTCACGTCTGTGGAGGGGACTTATGAAAAAAACCCTGGCTACACTCTTATAACGTCGTTGACTTTTAAAACATCAAAAAGGAGAACCTCTCTAAGATTGGGAAATTCGTCTGAGACTGATAGCAAATTCTTGCTCGAGAGGAAAGGTTGTGCTCTTGTTGGCTTCCATGGACAGTCTTCGTCTAAATATCTTTTTGCTCTCGGAGCATATTCTTTTCCCATGACTCCTCTTCCTGAATCGGAGAAACTAGATGCACAAGCTAGTGATTGAGGAGTACTTTCCATACACGATGGGGGTTTCGATAATTATCTTCATGTTTGAGCCCAAATGAAACTTTCTCCACTAAGCTTTATGATGCTCTTTAATTAATGTCTCTTAATCCTGTATTCTACTTACGTATTTGCTCTTAATATCATTTTATAAAACCAAGTTTTTTTTTCTACAACAATTAAGCTTCAATAGGTAGAGTTCTACGCAAAACGGCAAAACCAATACATGTATAACTCTCAATTAGCAGATTATATTGTAGGTTCTTTGCATGCATATTAAGAAGTTCCTTCCAATTTTAATTTTGAAACCAAATCCGTATTTGTGTTAGGACGATTATTTTTGAACAATATTATGATAGCGTAAGAGATGTTCCACGAATTAAAGAGGAATATATTTGCATGCAAAGATAATTTTATGGTAGTCAATACGAATATGAAGAGAACATATGATCCGATTGAGTAGTTTTCTATATATAAGACCATCTCTCTCAAGGGTGTCTTGATGGATTTCTCATCATCAAAAAGGAGGAGAAATGTTGAGATACGTTTCTCATTTGAGAAATGTTGAAAAATGTTTCCGAATTTTTAACATATCTTTTTGACAGTTGTCATTGTTTTATTGGTTTAATTTTTTTTATGATTTTAAAATTAAATAAATAATCAAAATGAATAAAATATTATATTTAAGATACCCAATAGGTTTTCTTACTCATGCTGATGCTCTAAGTTATTTTTACTTCGGCCGACAAAAAAAAGTAGTTCTTTTTACTTCATTCGAGATTTTGAACAGATTGAATGTTATGTATTATGTAAAATTATTTTATTTCGCATCTTAGTTTTATTTTATGCTAACCGTACAAATGTTAGGTGTTTTTTTCAAATGTTTTCGTTTAATATAGGAGATTTTTTAAAAGAAAATCCAAATGATTTTATAACGTTCCTACAAATGTTAGGTGGAATTCATGTGAAGAAAAGAAGAAGATGCATTGGGTCTCTTGGGAGAAGATGTGTAAAACAAGGAAAGAAGGTGGTTTAGGCTTTCGAGATGTTGGTGATTTTAATCAAGCCTTACTCGCAAAACAGGCCTGGCGACTTCTTACAAAGCCAAATTCCTTATTGGCTCGGGTTTATAAAGCAAGATATTATCACCGGAAAGATTTTATGGATGCTGCTATCGGTGCCAGACCGTCTTATGCTTGGCGAAGCATTATTCACGGTCGTGATCTGCTTGCAAAAGGTCTCATCAAGAACATAGGTAATGGTCAAACAACGAGCGTATGGAAAGACAAATGGATTTTTGATAATACTCTGCGGCGTCCCTTCAATAAACAGTCTCTTTTCGATTTAGACTTACGAGTTTCAAACCTTATAACCCCCCAAGGCTCTTGGAACCATCATTTATTATCGGAGCTGTTCTTTCCACCGGATGTTGTCAGAATAATGTCGTATCCTCCTAATTTAGCTTCACCGGACAGTTACGTATGGGCTTATAATCGGTCTGGTTGCTACACGGTGAAGAGTGGTAACTGGTTGATATCTCACTTGAAACATGTGCCTGCTCTAATTTCTGATCATGAACAAGAGTCTCGTGCACTCAAAGCGAAGATTTGGGAGGTCAAAACTATTCCTAAAATCAAAATGTTCTTATGGCGAGCTTTATCTGGTGCACTAGCTGTATCGATGTGTCTACAAGCCCATGGCATGAACTCTGATCCTCAATGTGCTATGTGTCAGGACGCTATTGAATCAATCAGTCATGTTTTATTCAATTGCTGGCCGGCTCGTGAAGTTTGGGAGATCGTCAACATAACTTTTCCTCCTCATGGTTTCACAGATTCTATCCATGACAATATAGCATTCTTGTTAAAAGTTATGAAACAGGAGAGTGTGTCTCTCAGGATTAGAATGGCGATTCCATGGATCTTGTGGAGAATTTGGAAGCACCGAAATGAAGTTTTATATGCTGGAAAACAGGGTGAGTTGAATGCTCTGGTCAGTCACGCAATAGAAGAAGCGGAAGAGTGGAACAAGATTAAGGAGTTACAACCGCAAACTTCCATGAGTAATGTCCCGGTTTTGCGAAGAGAAGGTCATTGGGTCAAACCCCCGATGGATTTTCTTAAGTGTAACATCCATATGTCTTGGTTAAATGATTCACATATGTGTGGTGGAGCATGGATAGTTAGAAATCATCAGGGAGATGCAGTTTTTCATGCGAGAGAAATGTTTCTTCCTGCTTCAAATCGTATTGCAGCGGAATTACGAGGGATGCTTTGGGTTTTAAGGAGTCTCTTAGATTTACATTTGGATAACATTGAAATTTGGTCAGATTGCAGTGCTGCTATTGAAGCCATTATTGATCCATCTAACTGGCCAAGGTATCATTCTTATCTCGACAAGGTACACAGGTTAATCTCCTCCTTTGGTCAAATAGTGTTTAAAGTTTCATCTACCAAAGCGAATTCGGTCGCAAGAGATATTGCCGTGAGTGTCACAAGGGAGAGTCGCACACGATCATATTTAGCTCGAGGTGGACCGATGTGGCTCCATGCCCGTATCGAAGAGGAAAAGAGAAGATGAATTTATTAGAGCATCTTTCATAATTATAATACTCTGTTTTTGTGAGGCTCTGTTTTGGTTTGTGTTTACATGCTCTGTTATCTGTGGTTTTTTGAACTATCCTTTTGATTTCAATAAAGTTTATTAGACGGCAAAAAAAAAAAACGTTCCTACTTCCTAAATATGTATTTGAATTAACAATTTAACATGTTCCTAACAAAAAAAAAAAAAAAAAAAAAACCTTTAAAGAAAAAGAAAAGAAAAAACAGATAAGTAAAAAAGTGAAAATAGCCCAAAAGAAAAAACTATATTGGTACCTCTCTTCTCAATCCATCCGATTCGATACATCAACAACACCTTGAAGACAATGGCCTCCCATTGTTCCATGAGAGTAATACTCCTCAGATTCTCCAATGGCGTCTCTTCCAGATCAATTCTCAACTCCACTAACCATCGTCTTCTCACCATGACCAACTCTCTCTCATCTCTCTCCTCAATCTCGCCTCACACTACTTCGCATTTCACGGCGTCACAACTATCAGATGACCAGAATTGCTTCCGAAAGCTTCAAGTCAGAAAGATTTCGATTACAACTCCTCTTTGTATGGGTCGTCGTTCTTCCAAAATCGCTGGTCGAAAGGTTCGTTGAGCTTCTGAGTTTGTGGGTTCATAGCTTCCATGTTATGATAACTTTAGTTCCAAATTTAATGATTAGTGGAAGTGTTTTGCTACTACTTCTAGGTTTTAAAAATAAACGGGTTTGATGAGTCTAGAGCTGGTGATTGTTGATGCCAACCATGTGTTTGATGAAATGCCTTAGAGAAAGAGTGGGTTTGATCATGGGTTTATACCAAAACAATTTTGTTATTGTAAAGATTCTAACTTGCACAGTTATGTCAGTCTTGAAAAGTATTATCTTATTCACCATGTTTAAATTATGAAGCATAACGTGGAAGTTTCTCTTACTCGTGTTGTATGGAATTCAGCAATTATGAAGTAGATACCAATATTCTCTTGAAACTTGTGATTTCTTAATAAGAGAGTTTATGGTGAATACAGGGGGCTCAAGATTCGAAGAAGGCGAAGCTATACTGTAGAATTGGGAAGGAGGTTGTATCTGCGTAAGTCTTCAACATTTTTACTAATTTTTCATCTTTTGTGTTGTTATTAGGTAAAACTTGCACATTAGTTGTAATATAGATAGGGTGTTTAGTTTGTTGGACTCAACTTCTTAGTTTGTTATGGACCTATGGTTATGACAATGAGTATCATGTGTGGGTTTATCATCATGCAGCGTCAAAAAAGGGGGTCCAAACCCAGTTTCAAATACGACTCTAGCTACTATTCTTGACAAAGCTAAAGAGCTGGATGTACCAAAGGACATTGTGGAGCGTAATATTAAGAGGGCTTCTGAGAAGGGGCAAGAAGCTTTTATAGAGAAGATTTACGAGGTGAGGTCATGAGCTTCAGTTCTAGTTTTATGTTTGCTAGTGGGGCCGTTATGGTGAATCATCCTAGTAAGGTGAATTGGTTATAGATCAGCACTCTAACCTGGCCAAGTATGTGGTTACTGAAGCTAACACAACTTCACTACCTCAGTACCTAGTTCAGTTTGCAGTACCATAATTCTAGTTCCTCGGTTATCATTTCTTTTGGGTCCAATTATAAGATTTGATGACTCTAAAATACATTTGTTTTCTATGCTTTAGGTATATGGCTATGGTGGAGTTAGTATGGTAGTCGAGGTCTTAACAGACAAAATTAATCGATCTGTGGCAGCTATTAGATCGGTCGTTAAGGATTATGGAGGAAAAATGGCTGATTCAGGATCTGTCATGTTCAAGTTTAGACGAGTTAGAGTAGTGAATATAAAGGTCACTGAAGCTGACAAAGATCAGCTCCTTAATATTGCTTTAGATGCTGGAGCAGAGGATGTTATTGAGCCCCCAACTTATGAAGATGATACTGATGAAGATCGGGAAGAAAGGTATACACAATATAATACGCCCAAATCTCTTTAAAAACCTGAGTTTCTCAGCATTTATTTTCTTCCTGTCAGTATTGTGTTTATTGTTTTGGTTGGTGATGAAACCTAAGTTCTGTTGGCGTTAGAAATATTCACTTCTTGAAACGGGTTAGAAGTTTCTTCCAAGATTGAATCTAGAAAGTAATCAAGTGACTGAGGGTAGACCTAGTGCAGTTTCTTCTCATAAACAGCTACATTACAAAAAAAAAGCGTTTTCATACCATGCGATTTGAAACAAGAAATCCATCTTACCACATACAGATAGGTGTGATGAGATGATCCCTAGATGACTCATAAGTATACTTGTATGTTCTTCTTTTGTTTCATCTGTTTCTTTGCTCTATATTTGTCCAGATACTACAAAATTGTAACTTCTTCTGAGAACTACTCAACGATATTATCAAAGCTACGTGATGAAGGAGTGAACTTCGAGCCTGACAATGGCTCTGAACTGCTCCCTCTGACAACAGTTGAGGTAGTCAACCCTGCTCTGTTTTGTTACCGCTGTGACATACCCTTTTCCTCATGT